TCTCTCTCTCTCTCTCTCTCTCTCTCTCTCTCTCTCTCTCTCTCTCTCTCTCTCTCTCTCTCTCTCTCTCTGTCTGTGTTTCTCTCTCTCGCGTAACTATGATGCCAACGCAAACCACAGAAAACAGCGGATGGCATCACAAACCATTCCCATTCAGTAGGGAGAGCGAGAGGAGGAGGAGAAGCGAGAGCATGAGGAAGATGAGGACAAAGTGTGGCGCGGGTGGTTCGGAAAAAGCATGGCGCTCTGCGCAACGCCTCCAGGACCAGGTGTACTGCTGATTTAAAAATGGTTATGGGATAGAAAAGCCAACCGGGGTTCCTTGGCCGGGTGTCAGTCAGTCAAAAAAAAAGCAGGAAAGTCCCAGGAAAGTCCACAAACTTCCTGAAGCGACAAGCATTGGCAGGGCATGGGAGCCCTAACCAGTAGCTACAGTCCGAATGGCGAATTGTCAAGTACAAAATCCCAGCTTGGGAGGCAGTCTGCATAGTTTTCACTTGCGAGATCAGGAGGGAAGCACTGCTGTGCTATTTTGGGATATACTGAGGAGGGCACTGGTTGGGGATACTGCGGCGTGTACTATTGTGTGGACTTTGGCTGGCAGTAGTACTCAACAGCACTGAGCGCCAAAGCCAAGTCCAGAGTGAGGTTGCTGGGAGAGCTAACTTGAGAGAGGTATTCAGTGAGAGAGACCTTGGTGAGGGAGAGAGAAGGCTGAGGGAAGGAGCGACCATACCTGAGAGAGCTTGCAGGAGGCCATAGCCACACCTTGTGTAACGACAACTTGGCGTAGTTGAGTTGGGACAATTCTGCAGAGTTGAGTTGATTGGCGGATAATTTCTTTGAGTTACATCTCACCTGTGCTTTGCTGTGTGGATCTAGGGTGAAATCCTGGGCGCCCGGGTACCCAGACCCCACCCTGGAAGGCACTACGGTGCCGTGCCGGGTGGGGGCTCTGGCACTGTTAGCACTGACACAAAAAAAAAAATGAAAAAGCCCTTATGATGGGCCAGGGGGATGCTAGGGGTACCGTGGGCCCTCCAGACCCCAAAAAAAAAATTGCGCGGAGGCCCCACTGGCCCCGAGCTTGGAAAAGAGAAATGGCGATTTCAGGCCCTCGATCCTGCAGATCGGGGGCCTGCAATCAGCCTTCTTTTTCACTTTGCCCACGATTTCCTGTGGACATTGCAGTTTGAATGCCGGCATGAGATCGCGCGGCCACTCTTCAACATCACTGCCCCACGCCCGCTTGCCCTGCTGCCTGTTGAAGCCTGTCATCGCCAGGTAAGTCCGTGTGTGCGTGTGTGTGTGCGTCACGATGTGCTCCTCCTCCTCGTCCTCGCCCTCTGCCCCCGCCTCAGCCTCCTCTTACTCGTGAACCCCCATATCGGCGCATAGTGGGATGCGCCTAGGCAGGGGAAAAACACTTACACACGAATGGATGGACGCCGAACAGCAGCCATTGTCAACTGCAAGCCTGGTACAAGGCGAGAGAGAGAGAGGGAGGCCACCGCGCGAGACGCGCGCACGTGAGAGAGAGAGAGAGAGAGAGAGAGAGAGAGAGAGAGAGAGAGAGAGAGAGAGAGAGAGAGGCTATCGCCTGCTCCATGCAATTGCCTCTCTCCACTGGCTTCCTCCTACGCTTTCCTCCTCCTTCCTCCCACTTTGCCTCTCTGATCCCACCATCGACTTCCTACACCATTGCCTCTTCCACCTCCATCGTCCCCCTTTTCTCCTTTGCCTTCCTCCTCCCACTTCGCCTCTCTCCTCCAACTTTGCCTCCCTCCTTCCGCATCGCCTCTCTGATCCCACTATTATCACCTTCCTCTACCATCGCCCCCCGGGTTTCTCCATTGCCTCCCTCCTCCCACTTCACCTCCCTTCTCCCACTTCGCTCCCCCCCCCCCCCCCCCCCAAACAAGTTTACAGAAAAAAATAGAAAAGACCCCTTATTTGGGCCGGTCAGGCAAGCACAGAACAGTGGCACTCGCCAAAAAAAAAAAAAAAATTAGAACTGTTTTTTTGTTTTTTTTTTAACGCCCAGGTGACCCAGGCGCCAGACCTGCCTCGGCATCACGCCAGGATGCCTGGCTGGGCGTGAAAATCTTCCCAGGTGTGGCCGTAATTTGGTCTGTGTGAGGTGTGAGAGTGATGAACGGCCGGTCTCAAAGCAGACCTTCTTATGACATTTTGTGGCGGTTGGGGGACGTTTTGTTGTGCAGCCTTCAAGAGAAAGATTGTATGAGGTGTTTGCCAAGTTGGCGAACACATCGTTCACTCCCTCTGACGGTGGAGATCAGGGCTTCCTCATTGCATCTTATCCGGAGCTTCTTGGACAACCCTTATTTGTCCCGCCAAGCGATGGCGTTGCACTCAATGGGACTTTCCGTCTCCAGTTTGGTTATCAGTTGGATGCGTCATATTACAGTGAGTAGCTCCGGCTTCATTCATTTATTCATTCGTTCATTTGAAGTTCGAACCAGGTGAATTCATTTTTTTATTATTTTTTTTTAAGTTGAATTCATTTCCCCCTTGCCTACTCTGTGTGTTTGGCACCCTCTTTTCTCCTCCCGACTCCAAGGCTTAACACTCTGGCAGGTTTGACAAAAAATGGAATCTATTTTTTGCTTTTTTTTTCCTTTTTTTTTTTTTTTTTTTTTTTTTTTTAGTGACGGAAAGATGCAATCATAAGCTGGCAATCTTAACAAAGTTCCTGCAAAGATAACGGACTCAGCACTGAGTGTGTGTACGTGAACATGCGATTCAGTTGTTTCTCTGCTCTCGGGACCTTTATTTACTGCTGCTCCACGTAGGTGCAAGGAAAATGAGCAACAGCGAGATGACAATATTCAGATTGCACAATCACATTGAAAGCCAGATCGTATCTCAGTGTTCAGAAAGCAGCATTGCACCAATATAACACCAATGGAGAATCGTAGCACTGAAAACCAATGTCAACGAGAGCTTGCTCTCGCCACCACCAACATATGTATCCAGTACCTATCTCCCTACTTGGCGCTTGGCGCCCAGCCTACTCCCTACACAGCTACTACTAGCCTACTAATTGACAATGCAACTGTTGACGTCAGCAGCCTCCGAAGTACTTAGGTGTCGGTCATGCAGACCATCGCCAATACCAGGTATGTGCCCTCACATCATCATTATCATCATCCTTCTCTCTCTCCCTTGTCTTCCCTTTTGTACACCCGAAGACCACCCCTGCGCCTCACCGTGCATCCAAGCCCGCCAGCTATGGAGGCTGAGCTATGGCGCTGCCTTCAGCAGCGCCCTCCTCCTTGCACGACCGCACGTGCTTGCACCTCGCCTCTCAGCGCTAGCAGCAGCCCACGTGCTTCAGCTCTAGCAGCTCTGCCGCCAGCATGCGAGTGCCCGAATGACTGGCCAGGCAGCGAGCTCTTTCCTATATGGAAAGAGCCTGCCTCATTCGGCAGCCTGGCTGGACTGGCCTCGGCCCAGAAGCTTCCGGTAGGCCCCAGGATGCTGCGTCTCTGGTGCAGCTACTGGGCCTCGTTCAGTTGGTGACACAGTGGAATTTGCTTACGCTGTGCTTAAAGAAGAGTTGTCAACTGTCTGTGTATGAGGCTGCGAATCTCGCCCACGGCCTGCACTTTCGGAAAAGCCTACAGTCTTCCCCCGAATACAACGCACGGTCATTATAGCTGAATTTGGGCTATCTTTCAGTCTGAATTCAGCTATAATGACCGTGCGTTGTATTCAGGGGAAGACTGTAGAAGGCCGTGGAATTTCCTTGATCCTCGGCCTGTGTTTCCTCAACCAACTGGCGCGACAAAACTGCCCTGGACCCCAAATACGAATTTGACAGCTTAGGGTCTCTCGAGATTTGTTAGGCCCGCCTTCACTTAGGGCGGGCACATTCGCTGCAGGGGACCCTTAGGCCTGCCGAGGACCCAGATCCTCGCATAGGCAAACACTGGACTGTTGACTGAAGCAGCTTGATGGCCTATTCCTTCCCCAGGAGTGAGGGACTCCACTTCTGTATCTGGAATTCCATAATTTAATCTCTCTTGCTTTGCTGAGACTCGATACTGGGCTGTTGCAGCGAATTTTTTTCCTGTTTAGGAAGTCTTTTATTATCAACAAAATTGAAAATCCGAATTTTTTTTTAATTTTCTTTTTTATAAAGTGCCCCTAGGTCCGTTGTATCTGGGCAATTGTTCTGACCCCATGGGGCGTGGGGAAATGCTGTCAAATTGATCTGAGACTTCCTCCTTCGGACTCCCTCCCTCTCACCCTTCACCATTTTGCATGGTGCCTCTGTTCTTCTCCGCCCTCCATATCCTCTTCTTTGCTCTTCTCTTCTGCTGCGGGCATTGGTGCATTGCCATGTTGCCTCTGTTCTTCTCCGCCCTCCATATCCTCTTCTTTGCTCTTCTCTTCTGCTGCGGGCATTGGTGCATTGCCACGTCAGCATGGTGAAATGTCAGCAGACCGCGTCAGTGATGACAGGTCAGCAGGACATGTCAGCAGGACAGGTCAGCCGGCAATGTTAGAGAATACTCACATTAGCCACTCAAAATAGCAAAATCGCAAAATCGCAAAATCAGCGGCTAAAAGACGGTAAGGCAAAAAAGAGCGACAAGGCAACGACGCCAACGAGGCATTGAACAGCAAGTGGTGAGCGGCGGCCGGGCACGTAGAATGGAGGGCATGGGGGAGGTGGGTGGGTGGGCGAAATCAGCGGCCACATCGAGTCCTCCTCCTCCTTTGACAAGGACTCGATCTGGCCGCTGATTTTGCAACTTGTGATTTTTTGCGACTTTGAGGTCCTAGCGCGAGTGTGCCCTCAAACTGGAAAAAAAGAAAAACTCCACCACCACAAAAAAAAAAAAAAAAAAAAAAAAAACAGCAAAGAAGTAAAAGATATCAAACTGAGGGTGGGAGATTGTGTCGTCAAACTCGCACGACTCGTCAGGAGGCCGAACCCTCAACCATCATCGGAATTCCCCATATGGATGCTTTGGGTCATGAACCCTGTGACCATTCTTAAAAGCAGACAGCCTGCAGCACAAGCAGCATCGCAATGACGCAGGAAGACACAAGGCAGTCCTGACAAGGCAGCCACGCTCGCTACCAGGCGAACAGGTATGCTGCACGGGCAGACGAGGCAAGGAAAGTGGATGGGCTGCAAGGCAACAGTGCAATGAATCACAAGGTAGTGGCTGACGACGTAGCGTAACTGCATAGCACACTAGCACACTGGAATTACGATGGAATAGCACACTAGCACACTAGCACACTTGCACACTAGCAGACGGCAGCATGGCAACGGTGCAGTGAAGCACAAGGCAACATCATCGAAGCAGCCAAACTATAAGCAGGATGGGATGCAAGGCAGCGGAGGAACGCAGACAAGCCAGTACACACACGGAGCATGGACTGAAGCAGTTCATCGCCTACTCACACCACAAAAAGAACTGTGCAGGCTGTTGGTTCCCACCACTTGCTGAGCCAGCGAGTCGCTCCAGCAAATGCCTGTCATCACCCATAGACCATATGCACCATAGACGTTGCGAACAGAGCGCCACCTCTCCTCTGATAGTTCTGCAGGCACTTCTAACAACCAGCCATCCACTGTTTAGCACTTCTTAGAGGTGCTTGCTTAGACACATAGAAAGTACATAGAGAAAAACACAGACATTCTGAGACATACATAAAACTGAGTGTGTTTGTGTGTGTGTGTCTGTGTGTGTGTGTGTGTGTGTGGGTGGGTGGGTGGGTGGGTGTAGGGGGAGGAGGGGACATCAATGAACAAAAGCAAAAAACAAAAAAAAAAACATTCCAGTCTTCGGAAAGTATTCAGAAAACCATAAAGGAGTGCGAGGTCCCCGCACATGTCTGCTTAACCTCGCACTATATATAGGAATCCTCCGTCCTGTAAATATTTGTCATGGTAATTATTTCAGCATCTACCTGTCAAACTACAAGAATAACAGCTGTATCCCTCATAGGAAAATGCAGGCGCTCATCTCCCCAAAACATGCAAATGTGTGTGCTTTGTGGTTCGAAATTCCCAACATCAAGGCAGGTGGGCTTGTGTCCGAATCTGCATGTCTATGTGCCTGACTGTCAGCTTGTCTGTATGTGTGTCC